TCCTGTGAGGTGGAAGGATATCACAGCTGAATCTCTGGGGACCTGAGCTTCATCCCTCACTCGTACTATAGGCTCTCAAATTTATTTGGCCTCCCGCCAGCCCCTATTCAGAAAAGAAAAACGACTCCCCTGGCGATGAGAAACTTGATCCTCTGGGATCAAGTGAAGCATCTGCTTTTACAGCCCCCGGTGGGGAGGAATACTGCCTACTTTGAGAAACCCTGCTCTAAACTGCTCTAGGACCTTGTGCAAGTCAAGAAATCTCTGGCCACATCCATGGGATGCGACTGACGGCCACCTCCCTGGGTCAGAACCCAGGCTGGGCCCTGGGAGAGCTGTGGGAATGCTCTGTAAGCAGTGGGCATCATCATGGCGCAGTCAGGCTGGCACCGGGCCTTGACCGGCAGGCAAGAAAGGGCTAGAAGGAGAGGTTGTCACCCCCCAACCCTCACCCCACCTCAGAGGATCCTCCCACCCAGCCTGGCCCAGCATCGGCACTCCTCGCCGTCCTGGTGAAGGTGACAGGGAGGAAGTGGACGAGCAGGGCCCTCACAGGAAGCAGGGGGTGTCTGTAGTGTCTGAGATGACAGCCATGGGCCTCTGGCCTTCATCCTGCACTTGGCCTCAGAGGCTTTCCTGGGCTTCCCTTAAACCCAGGGCTGGCCCCGTGTTCCTGGCCTCAGTCCAGGAAGTAGTGGGAGCTTCTCCCTGAGGCCTTTGACCTTGTCCAGTGCATACTCATGACACATGCTCATACCACACGGGCACACAAAAACCAACACACATTTATGTGACACACCATACACACACTGCATGCACACCTAAAAGACACCGCACCACCCTCTCTACACTTCACACACGTCATAGAATCACCAAACGCATAACACACACATAATGCACAATGTGCATGCAAAACCACCACAGACTACACATATGTACTGCACGTGCACACATGTCACACACACCTCCCACGGACTCGCCACGTACATACACACGCCGCACACACACACAAACAAGATGGACACATATACGAAGCAGGCTTCCTTCTTTCTCATCTGTCTCCCATGTAAACACCCCTCTAGCCCACCGCTACATAAGGGCTAATGTGGTTCTTCTGAAGTCTGGCCACTTTCTGCTTGAAGCTCCTCTTCCTCCCCTGCATGGCTTCAGGCTCAAATCCATGCCCTCTCTTTCCATGATCCTGCCAACCCACCTTCCTGCCTACTTGCCCAGGATGAATGGTTGCTCACATCAATGCTATTGCACACCCTCACTCTCTCCAAAGACTGCCCCTCCCTCACCCATCGGAAAACCATATCCACTCTTCAAACCTCAGTCAGCCTCATCTCTAAAGCTCCCCTCGGCAACCACAAATGGGATTCCTCACTTCCTCTCTGTGCCTTGTTGTCTGCCTCCCCTGCTAGTAGGCGGAGGGGGGGGGGCATCACAAGGCTAGGAGTCGCATCCCCCTCATCTATCTCTCTCATTGGGGCACTAGGTCCTGGCATTGGGTAGGGACTCAATAAGTGTAAGTAACACTGCCCCACCCCCACCCCCTGCCCCAGATCAAGGTGGAAAACCAGCATGACTACCAGGACATCACCAGCGTGGTCGCCATGGCCCAAACCTACGCCACCACTGAGGCCTTCATTGACTCCAAGTACGACGTCCGCATCCAGAAAATCGGCTGCAACTACAAGGCTTACATGTGAGTCCCTGGTGCTGGGCTGGGGGGCTGGGAGGCAGGACGGGGGAAGAGTTTGGGAAGAAGGGAACTTAGAGATCCACGTCTAGCCTGCTCCTCTCCTCCCTCTGCACCAGGGGAGTGATCTTCCGCCATGACCCTGTCAGTGACACTGAGGACTCACGTTCTGTTACAGTTGATGCAAGGGTAGGACTCTGTCCACCTCAGCCAACCAGGATTCTTTCCCCCAGAGGAAGAACGATGCATAGCATGCTGGGGAAACGGCAAGAATGTGGAGTTGTCTTAGGCTGGGTTTTCTAGAGAAGCAAAATCAATGGAGCTTACAGATGTAGGCATATAGGAAATTTTTATTATTTTTTAATGGCTTACATCATTGTAGAAACAGGCCGGTTCCAAAGTTAAGGCAAGTTCCATTGGCCAGCTGTTCACTAGAGGCTTCTCCTGAGCCTTGGAGCTGAGGGGGCTGATGAACTCAAGATTGGCGTGAAGACAACAGGCCTGTGGCTGCAGAGGCAACCGAATCCAAGGGCAGCAAGCCACTGGTGACTCAGAAGTTTGACAGGTCTATGGCAGGCCATCAATTCAAGTCCCAAAACTGGAGGTCAATTAGAGCCAGTGACAGGATCCAGACCCAGCAAAAAGCAAGCAAGCTTTTCCACAGCATCCACTTATATTGGGAGCAGGCCAACTTGAAATTGATTGAATCTATGTAAAGGTGTTGCATAACACCGTTATCTTCATACAACTGACTGGCACTCGTAGCAGATCCCATTTTGGAGGGGGTTACATTGTGTTAGATCACCTCATGAGGCATCAGTAGGTTAATTGTCAAACTGCTAAGGATCCTGGCCCAGCCAAGTTGACACAAAACCTTAGCTACCACCAGCAGATGTATGTTATAGGGAAAAAATTGATGGAGAAATTGGGAGACAAATCAAGGAGGGCCTTAAGTGCCCTTCTGAAAGGGTGTAGATTCTCCTCTCCTCTGAGCACAGGCATGACGTGATCTGGCTTGTCATTCTAAAGTGATCCCTCTGGGGATGTGGGCAGCAAGAGCTTCCCCCGGGACCAATGAGACCAAGGAGGAGATGACATCAGCTTTCTCTGGCCGCACACACCGGAAACCACGGCTAATTCAAAGGGTGTGTGCGTGCTTGTTTTCAAGGGCATGTGTAGCAAAGGACACCCTGTTTGATCAGGTAGAGGGTGAGCAGCAAAGAAGAAGACCCCCCCCCAGAAGCTAGATGGACACCCTGGCTACAGTCAAGGACGAGGTGGGGGCAAGAGCTGGCAGCGGGTCCGGCTGTGGCGACAGGGTTGCTGTCCACCTACCAGCAATATTAGAAGACTTTGGGTGATCAGAAACATAAACAGGAGTAACAATCTCTGGAAGATTAGGGTCCAGGGCATCCTCAAATCTGGAGCATCCTATGGACTAGAGCAGTGGTTCTCAACCTTCCTCATGGCACAACCCTTTCATGTGGTGGTGACCCCCAACCATGAAATTATTTTCGTTACTACTTCATCACTGTCATCTTGCTACTGTGATGAATCGGGCAACCCCTGTGAAAGGGTTGTTCGACCCCCAAAGGGGTCACGACCCACAGGTTGAGAACCACTGTCCTAGACAGTCTTGAGCACTGCGGTTGGGAAATGAATCTGCCATCCCTTTCACTGCTTGACTCCAAGTTCTGGTCCATGGAAGCAGCACTGATGAGCCAGCCCGGTATTGGTCACTTGCTTCTTGGTTGGAGAAAGGCAAAAAAACAGTATGAGCAGTCCCACCAAGATGATGTGCAATGTATCGGGATCATTCGCCAAGGGAAACAGAAGGGCTCTGACTAAAAAAAAAGATAAAGGAATGGATGCCAGGCAGGAAAAGTCTAAACAAAACATATATTCACTGCAGAGGTGGTTCGTGCAAAGGATGAGATGCACTCAAGTCA